ACATCAGTTTGTGACACGTCAGTTTGTGGGTCAAGTAAAGGACAACCTGGGGTCACTTTGAGCTGACACTGTCTACAATTTGGAACCTTTGTTGCCCAGACCTCCTGAAACAGATGAAACCAGTCAATGCCCCTTTCCTCAAAGGGGTAAAGTTTCAAAGGCTGGATAGCTGCATAACTGGCATTGGGGCTTCGCATTAATCACCCCGATTGCTTCCAGATTCCACAGGAAACCCACCCAGTGAGACAGGAACACAAAAATAAGTATAACTATTATTTGTACAAAGGTCTATGAATATTCTGTGGGCCCATAGAGTCTGGTACATCTCAATATAATAGTCTTTAAAGTTTTCCATGCTTTCAAGATCTCACATCTGTCACATCTTCCCATTAGAAAAGAAAGAGTTTAATCCCTTTGCCCCAATGGGTAACAATGGTATGTGAGTGGGAAAACGGAGTCACGCATTCTTTCATAAAAATATATCTGAAGTTTCATAGTTTTGCACAATGTCTACTTCCATATTAGCCATGCCCCAGAATTCCCTCTTTATCCATCCCAGCACCTTTTCCTCACACAACTCCCTCAAAACTCAGGTCTTCCACATAATCCACCAGTGATATTACATAGCATTAAAAGTGCTGCCCTGCAGCCATTAATGGAAAAATAAGTCTAATTCTAGAGGCTTTCTCCTGACCCACAGAAATCAATGGGTGTTTTGATTTTGATTTTGATGGGAGAAAGATCTGGGTCTAGTATTGCCGAAAACTGTAAGTCTCCCAGTGATATTTGTTTTGTTGTGTGTGTGTTGAGAGGGGAGAGCTCTTCTTGGATTATAAGTGTAAATCCCCCACCCCCTTTTTCCTCTCTGGGTTACTCAGGAGCAGGCAACATTCACCTGTGTGCCTGGGTGCCTGATGTTGTTGACATTAAAGGATATTCTGAGTATCCCAGTGGTGATGTTTGATAGGTGGGGATCATTTATCCACCCCTCTGCTGCAGTCCCTTTTCTCTGAAAGGAATTTAAAATTGGTGGTGCCTCCACCTGGCTGCCCCCTCTACAATGGCATGCCTTGGGAACCTCCAGGAACAAAGCTATTCTAATAATAAATAATAATAATCTGTGGCATGAGTGTAAATCAAAAATACCAATTATAAATAATAACCCACTATATAATATATACTTATATGTATATACATATAAGTATATGCATATATAAATAATATACATCCAATACACTTAAATTAGAGTTAACACACCTTTACTTAATTTAAATAAACAGGGTATAACAGACTGAGATTATATGTCACTATTAATTTAAATTCACGGGGGGGAGTTGAATAAAATCAATTAACAAATATAGGATACAGTGATAAATGAAAATTAGATCTAACTGGCATTGACACTGCCACCATTCACCCCACCCCGCAGTGTACACTCCTCTGGATTTCAGAGTCCTAGGCACTTGCTTGTGTGGAAGTGCTTGAAGATCTGCAGCTGGAGACAGAACTCTGTTGTTTCTGTTGTATCAGTCCACCCAAGGCAACAAGCTTCACAACCCCTCTGACGACTGGAGCTGGCCCCACCAAATGTCAGCAGCTCTGGGTCCTGGTTTGGTGGGAAGATCACTCTGCCGCCCCTCAGACTCAGACTCTCTGCTATGTCCCTTCCCTTGCAAGTACTTTCCCAAAAAACAGTGGGGGTTACTTACAGTCCTTTACTGCAGGCCCAGCTCAGTCAACTCCAGGCACAGCAACAGTCTCTGACTCCAGTGAAGCCACCAACAGCCTTTGAGGCTCCCTGCTTGATCAAAGCCCCTGCAGGCTCTCAGCAGCAGCTTCTGGCTTCCTAGCAGCAGCTCCTGGATGAACAGAGCTCCATAGCAGCAATCTCACTCCTTTTCCCAAAATGGAGTTCACCGCCTATTATCCCTGCAGGAGTAAATCTCTCTCCCTTTCCCGAAGGCATCATGGGAGTTGTAATCAGGGCTGCCCAGAGGATTCATTGGGCCCGGGGCAAAGCAATTTTGGGGGCCTCTTCCATAAAAAAAGTTGCAATACCATAGAATACTATATTCTCGTGGGGGGCCCTTGTGGGGCCCGGGGCAAATTGCCCCACTTGCTCCCCCCCACGGCCCCCCCCGGGCAGCCCTGGTTGTAATCTCTAAGACTAGATTGCAGCACACAGGCTTTTCCCCTGAAACACTCCCAATAAAGTTCAGAAGCCCCTCTAGAAAAGGGTGCCTACATAAGGTTTATAAGTCATGTGCCATACTTTCTTGGTATCTTGTGTCACCTGAAGCATACCATCAGTGCTTAATAGGGTGAGAGTTTAAAGTCAGAAAGGAGCACCAGATCATAGTCTGACCGCCTGTATATCACAGACCACCCAGCACCCATACACTAAACCCAACAATTGGAATCAAAACAAAGTGTTATGGCCCTCAAGAGACTAGCACTAGCTAAAACAGGTAAATATATTTCATGAAAATTTCCAAGAGAAATTAAACCTTTTCCACCTCATTTGAAGTTGTTGGTGAAATGTTTTATTCTTTTTACTTTTAACAACTCTTGTCTCTACTACTCCCCCCTATACATTTCTGCCATATCCATAGAGTTTCAATCATTGTAGGATCTAGGAACCAAACAATTAATAGTAGTCATTTTCTTCCTAATCACAAAATTGTAGTCAAACATATCAAAGTTTCCTACTACTAGTTCACAGCATCTTGAAACTTAATCTGCACACTGTGATAATGTACTCTTCAGGCTTGTTGCTTTACATCCTGACCTGACTTTTTATGAGAAATAAACATTGATGTGCAAGATATATAAATGGATTGTGCCACTGGTGTTCTCCCAGATGCTGATTCTATTTGTTTCAAATTAGTGTGAAGAAAGGGAGATGAGTGGGTCCAAATGTTCAGTTCTCATCCTGCACATGCACTGTAACATCATCTACACCCATTGTCTCCAAAATGGGGTGCGCGGCAGGAGGAGTCGTTTTTTTTTTTTTTTTTTTTGCTTCAGCAGTTCGGCGGGAGTCCAAGAATCGTTTTATTTATTTGATAAGCAAGTAGCAAAAGAAGATTAATAAAAATGGGTATAGGAGCATGTATATTCTATCATTTAAAAAAACATGAATTGCCTCACACCCCAACTCGCCCAGTCACTCACCTCTTAAAATTGCCTGAGAGATATGGGACTTAGCAACTGGCAGAATACAAATTATCTTTTGAGAGAGTTGCATCTTTTTCCAGTTAAATTAAAAAGTCAAACTACAAGGGTCATGAGTGACAAGAGAATAGCCACATTAGTGCCTAGTAATTACCAGAATGTATTTATTAAACTACTAGCGCTGTTCATATTAATTAGGTAATTGAATGAAGGTTGCATATATAGCAAGCCCTACAGTTCAGAGGTACTTAATAGAAACACAAAGGTATGTCATTACTTAATTCTCTACAACTTCACAGTATATCCATTCTAGCTATACTACCCTTTTAGAATATTAAATTTAAAAAATACTAGCAGCATTGAGGTACAAATGTTATTTCCTGCAGATTGAAAGAGCACAGTTCACAATTAATTGGGGGAGATGAACATGGCTCTAAGTAATGTTTTTGCTTCCTCTGATCCTGGAGCCAAATCAGTCACTGATGTAAGTTAGTGCAGAAACAAGGCTGCTATAATTTTTGCCAGGGGTTGGTAGACCACACTGAACTATTGGCCTACCCCTCCAGCTCCAGAATTGTATATTTTGCATGTTTGTCATGGGACAACTGTTTTCGCTGATGAAAACAAATCTTTTTTCCAAACTCAGGGAAAGTGATAAAGCAATAAAAGACTGATTCTCCATTTTGTTAGAACATATTTTTTATTTATTTATTTTACACTGGGGCAACTCACAGAGTCAATGAAATAACACTGGCATAAAACCAAAGTAACAGAGTAGAATTTCAGGCCTACGGTTTCCATTTTAAAAGATTAATTGAGCTATTTGACTTTTCCCCATTACACCTTTTCTGGGGAAATATTTGTGATACTCTGTACCTCGGGGGAACACCCAGGACCCCCATATTCATCCTTGATTGTGTGGGATCCAATGCAAAGTTTGTCATGTCGGGTGTCTTCAGAAGGCTCAAGATGCACTGAGCATTGTTGTTACAGTAATGTTATAGTAAGTTTTAGGTTATAATTTCATGTTTGTAGTTGTGAGGCTGAAAATGTATCCTCATGGCTTAAAATAAGCCCAGACAAAAATACTCCAAGAGCTGAGAGGCAGTTCATACCTCATCAGGGAATGTATGGGACAAACCCAACCCAGCCTCACAGGAACAAAGGACTCTGGCCTAGAGAGCAACAAAAGGATATGTTGGACTCTCAAGGGAGTCACCACCATTCCTTTGGGCAGTTTGGAACTGCAATGAGGTAATGCTCACCTGACTCTGATGGGGGAGGGGCAAAGCCAAGAGGGAAGAAAGGACACGTTAAAAGGGAGAGAAGTTTGCCATGCTCTTCCTCTCTCTTCCACCTACACCTACACCACACCCAGCAACTGAAGCACTGATCAAAGGGGAGAGCCTGGCTGAAGAGCAACCAGCCAGCCTGTGGTGAGAAGCATCTAAGTTTGAAAGGGCACTGAAAGTGTTAAAATCAGATTAGAATGCATTTTTCTTTTATTTCATTTGACCAAATCTGACTTGTTATGATTTGACTTATAATCACTTAAAATCTATCTTTATGGTTAATAAATTTGTTTGTTTATTCTATCTGAAGCAGTTTGGTTTGCAGTGTGTCAGAGACTCCGCTTGGGATAACAAGCCTGGTACAGATCAATTTCTTTGTTAAATGGATGAACTCATATAAGCTTGCAGCATCCCATGGGCATAACTGGACACTGCAAGATGGAGGTTCCTAGGGCTGTGTCTGAGACCGGAGATATTGGCTAGTGTCATTCGGTTGCAAGTAGCTGGGAGTAGCTTACATGCCAGAGACTGTGTGTGAACAGCCCAGGAGTGGGGGTTCTCACAGCAGAGCAGGGTAAGGGTGGCTCCCAGAGTTGAGGATTGGAGTCACCTAGCAGATCACTGGTTCAGATGACACCAGAGGTGAATGTCACAATATTTTATAGGCAAGATCAAGTTATAAAACCTGGCTAAAACAAGAGAGTTTAGTTATGGATGAGGATGAGGTTTGTCATGTAATCTAATGGCCCCTACTGATTAACTCAAATTTGCAGAAGTAACTATCTAGGAGGAGGAAGCACCTTCTAACCAAACATCCATCTCTCTCTCTATCTCTCCCAATAGTACCCTGCATTGTGGCACTTGTAGCCATATCCATCTAGCAACAGTTGCTAATTAGGAAAGGGTCTCATCCTCTCATGGTTATTTCTATACACCAGAGCCTTCTATGGTTGTTATTGGCTTCCAGTGTGGTATGGGAAGCCTGTAATAGGATGCTGTCAGGATGATTCAAGTAGGAAATTAAGATTTACATCCAAAGCAGCAATCTGACACAGCATGTTGGACAAAATGGCCAAGAAAAGTGTGGTGTGTGTATGTCATCACACTGACAGCCAACAGGTTATTGTCCATCTTACCAGCGGAAAAGTTCAATTACATCAGCCTAGAAGAAACAGAATTGGACACTGATCAGTCACTCATTAACTGCCAATGCTGCAATGCACGTTGGGCATTGGGTGAAAGTACAACAGCCACCCCTTGCTGGAGCAACCCTTGGGGAAGCAACCTGAGAACGAAAATGTATGGCCTTCAACTTTCTTTTCACCACTTCCTGGCCAGAACATTTCAGAGAAGGCTCAGATATCAGTATTCAGATTTTTCAACTGCTCAAGGAGGAGGATGGCTTTAGCTGTTTCTAACATTCCAGGTACCAATTTTATATTGGCTGCCAACATATAGGGTACCAGAATGGCCCTTTAGAATCATAGAATATCAGGGATGGAAGGGGCCACAGGAGGTCATCTAGTCCAAGCCCCTGCTCAAAGCAGGATTAATTCCCAGACAGATTTTTACCCCAGTTCTCTAAGTGGCCCCTTTAAGGATTGAACTCACAACCTTGCATTTAGCAGACTAATGCTCAAACCAATGAGCTATCCCTCCCCCAGAAGGTTTCAATGGTCATTTTTGCCTCAGAGGCAAATAAACTCTTGGGCATTTCAGCTAAAAGGTCATTTGACCAGATTGCTGCACACATCTTGTCTCTCTGATATCCTGAGACCAACATAGCTACAACAACATTGCATATAACAAAATACAGAAGCAGATTTTTTTTCTTTTCTTAAACGTCTTTGTTTGTTCCTGCTACAAAATGTTAATTAATTATTATTATTAGGTTTGATGCATGCTTTGTATTAAGCAGTAGTACATCGTGCTCAATATAGTATATGCACTATATATAAAGTAGTTTTAAAATATACATTGTAATAATCAACAAAAGTATATAATGACAAAAATGCCATATTTGAAGAGACATACACAAACAGAGACAAGGTTTTCTTCAACCTTAACTCTCTGTTCCCTGACTTTTTGTTGTGTGATTTCTTAGGGTGGAGACCATCTTTTTGTTCTAGTGTGCTCTGCGCCCAGGACAATGGGATGCTGGTCCATGTCTGATGTTCCTACAGTAGTACAAATAACAATCATATGAATATGTAATATTGCTTCAATGGTAGATTTCTACGCAAAATCCATAATAGCATATACCATACATATGAAGGTGTTCTCCACATGATAAACTAATGATCCATCTGATACGTGGATTTCACATGCACTTTTGAACATCTCGTCTTTTCTATTTAATTTCATGAGCTGCACTTAGCACTGAGGTATCCTAAACTGCTAGAAGTTTTCTTCCTACTGTTTTCAAAATAATCAAATAGTATCAGCAAACTATTCAGGGATACGTGGCTGGGGAGCTGAGGGAAATGACTCATTTTAATTTTTCAGCCCCTGTAAAGCTTTGGCTCTACAACTCACATTTCATTCTCCAAAGACAAATATGTTTCAGTCCCAGGAACCTTACAAATCTCTCCACACATCCTGAAGTTTCTGTCAATCACTCTGCATTGTTTGCCCCTATGAAGCAGTGTGTAAACAACATTTTCATAAATTAAGGGTCACTTCAGCTTAATTGCTTCTTGTTCATCTCCTACAGAAAGAATGAAAAAGTGTTATTCCTTTTCTATTTACTAACTGTGGGCCCATTTGCTTGAAATGTGGCTATTGTTGATGTGGACAATAGCTAAAGACAATGAAAGACACCATTTTATAGTTATATTCTCAGATCAATTACTCATAAAATACAATCCTTTTTACTGCTGTATTTTTCAACATATCCTAAGACATTACCATAGGTGTTTATTTGGCCTATCTTGAGTGAAAGTAGAAACAGTGATGCTTTAAAAGAAACAAAGATTTTATATGGTTCTTTATGCAAAATGCAACTTTAAATTAAAAAAAAAAATGTTGGCGTGAGAGATGTAGGCTTTCAAGAAGAATTATATTCCCCATTACAAAAAACTGTGCTCTCCTTATCACCTAAGCAGGTATTTCAAGGCACATAGTAAACTTCTAATGTCCCTGTTTAGGGAAGGGAAGATGGTAATTTCATTAATGCACAGGCCTGGTTATAGGGCTGTTGAATAGGTTTTTTTGTTTTTTGTTTTTGTTTTTTTTAAAAGGTGACTTACAATTATTTTGTGAAAAACAGCCCATTCAGGTCACTTTCACATGTGGGCGTGTATTATGCACGGTTCATAAGTGTTCAGAGGGGTGTAAGCTATTCATTAACACCTTCAAGAATCCACAAAGTTTGACAAATTTCAAGATATATATTTTGGTAAGAATGTTCCAATTTAATAGGTTGCTTGTTATTATCATTGCATTTTAAAAGAATAGAACATACAGTCAGGGAGCGGGAAAATGACATGCAGCTTAGCTGACTATCAACATTATGAATAGCAAATAGAGACTAGTCAAAGCAATCAGTTAGCAAACAAGTTCCTGGCTAAAAAGCAACAGAGTCCTGTGGCACCTTATAGACTATTGGAGCATAAGCTTTCGCGGGTGAATATCCACTTCGTCAGACGCATGTAGACTGCCCACGAAAGCTTATGCTCCAATAGTCTATAAGGTGCCACAGGACTCTTTGTTGCTTTTTACAGATCCAGACTAACATGGCTACCCCATCTGATACTTAACTTCCTGGCTGAAATTGTATGACTTTTACCAAGTCATTTAGGCCTACATTTTTGAAAGTTCTTACCAGTTTTACAGTGGCCAGTTTAAGACATGCAAGGTAAAATCATGGCTCCATTAAAATCAAAGGCAAAACCCCTGTGGACTTCAACGTGTCCAGGATTTCTCTTGCATAGTCTGATATTCAGAAATGTTGAGCACCCACAGCTCTCACTGAAGTAAATTGTAATTGTGTCTGTTCAGCATTCCTGAAGATAAGGGTTTAGAAAACTCAAATTGGCAACTCGAGTATCATGGTGTCATGGAATAGGTCACAGCTGTAAGTACAAACTGAGATTGGCACTGTGAGAAAACTGGGCAGACACACCCAAACTGGAGGTATAATTTATAATTAGATTTCACCAAACCAGTAACAAATGGGCAGTCCTAGATAACTACATTAGTTTTGCCATGGAGCCATAGACAGTTGCCCTTAGGCTCGCTAGCCCCCAGTTTGCCACCCAGACTGGGTGGACTTTATGATGAGAGGTTATTAAAAGCAAAACCACAACATACTAGTTTCTTCCAGCCCCAAATGGCCAGTCACTTTTCCCAGGTCAAGGTATACTTCAGATCTCACCAAAGATATTGCTGAAGCCAATTTCTTTATTAAATTAAACTAAAGATTTATTAGCTAAGAAAAAGAAATGAGCGTTGTTGAAAGGTTAAAGCAGGCAAATCCATTATAGGTGAATTAAAGTTTGTAAGTCCAATATGATAGCAGAGGTGCAGTAATTTGCTGGTTTCCTATAGTCACTTAAGGTTATCCAAATATGATTTTGGGGACCTCTGGCTTGTATCTGGAGTGCCCCCGACAGCATCCAAATGGATCAGAGATGTAGGATTGTTCCCAGGGCACACTTTTATAGATGAAAACAGACAGGCAAACATTCCTAGCATAGCATGGATCCCTAGACTTCCCATTGTTGAACACACAATGATCCACTCTTCGTTTACAGTTCTAAGGCCTCAATCCCATTTATAGGGCCATTAGTGATGTAAACACAATGCAATGGCCAAAAACAATTCTTCATTAGTTTTACACCTCAAGTAAATTCACATCTAAATGCTAACACAAACCTCTGATCTAGGGTTAATTAAGTATAACGTATATGTATGTAAGTGAAGCCAATATTACTAACATTTCTTTGAACTATTCTATCAGACAAGTGAATTGGCTTGATCCTATTACAATGCCTCTTGGCATTCTTTTGATTCCTATCAGCACTAGTGAATTGGCTTATGTCTACTGGCCCATTTAACATCTCTTTAATGCCCACACACAAGTGAATTGGTCCATGTAACACTTCTTTGAAGTTGTGACCTGAACTAGCTATCTGTCAGTGCCACACCAAGATGAGTGGGCTATGTGAAAATTTATGCTTGATAATCACTTTTTCAAATTCCTCATTTGTAAAATAGCATAATAACATATAACTTCATTACAGAGGTATTGCAAGACTACTAGTAAAATTTTCAAAAGCACCAAAGTGATTTAAGAACCTAAGCTCCATTTTCAAACTTGACTTGGGCACTTAGGGCCAGATTGTTAAAAGTATTTAGGTACGTAAGGATGCAGGTAGACATGGATGAATATGCTTTAAAAATCTGAACCTTAGACACCTAAGGGCCTAAGACACATTTGAAAATGGAAGTTAAGATCTTATGTCAGTGAGTTGCTTTTGAATATTTTACCTACATGCCTAAACATTTGTAAAGCCCTTTGAGATTCTAGCATGGAAGGAGCTATGGAGTGCAATATTATACGGAATTTAATTATTTTACTTCCTATCAATTAGGTAATATTTGAATTTATTTAGGGAGATATTAAAAGGATAACAACTTATTATTAATAGTTAATAGGAACACTACAAAAATGAATTATTCTAGTTGGGGATGTTATTAAGTTGTTCCAGTGATAATTGCTAAAATTATATATAGTTTAAAGGTGATGTTGAACTGAAATAGGTTTCTATAAATAAATAAATCTGTTTTCAGTACATCCGTTAATTATGATTTATTACTAGATAAAAATGAATGGCATTTACTTATTAAAAATTGGATAAAAAAGAGAAACATCTCCTTATAATCCCCATCACTATTTCCCAACCACAGGCTGAGGTTGTGGGCTTCCTTATTAGTGAAAGAAAGAACAGCGGTCATGAGACAGAATGAACATTATTTTAGGAAGACTGATATTGCTGTTCAGTTGGACAGATCTCCCTCACTTTGAGTGGAGCAATGGTATACAGCCAGGACACAGGTTAGCTTCATATTCACCCTGGGATATCTTTGGGTTTCCCATAGGAACATATCAATGGAAACTGCATGTGTTTATCTAATGGAAATAATTTCATCTATATGTATTATCACAAGAGCTTATGTGCAATATTTTACTGCTGATTTTGAAATAAAATATGTGTACTGACTAAAAGAACTGTCAGAGCCTGTAATTAGTGTTGGTTTTTTGTTTTTGTTTTTTAAATATTTTATTTTCTGGAGTGGGATCAACATTTCCAATTCTCTATTGCATAACAATCTATATGTATTTATCAATATGCATGATTGCCACATCATTGATAGCAGGGTTTTGTAAAAGATAAAATTATTAATATGAGACAAATTAGTAATTAGTACTAATGGAGCAAATTATGGCATTTATAAAGACACCAGTTAAAATGAACGTGAATGTGACCCAGCAGTAATTGGAAGCTTTCACTTTATACCACAATAAAGCCTCCTAGAGTGCTCTACCTTACTCCCCATCCACACTGGAAAGGCACATAGAGCGCTCTGACTCACTGGCTAGAGCGCTCCTGGTACTCCACCTCCACGAGAGGGATAACGGCTGTTCCATATTGGCTGAGATGCCCCAGGGCCAGTGTGAACGAGGAGTTACGTTACAGCACTCTTATTGACCTCCGGAAACATCCCATAATCCCCTTAAGTCAAATGGCCTCTCTTCTCTTTGTTGTGAAATCGGCTGAGGAATGCGGAAGTGCCGTTTCAAACACCCGGCTGCTTATCTGCAAAAGTAAATATTTGCTGTGAGTGAGTGAAAGCGAGGCGGGGGAAGGGGGCCTGAACTTACAAGACAGCATGCTGATACACTCTCAGCACTCCAAAAACCCACTCTCTCCCTCCCCCCACATACACACAACACACTCCACCCCCCCCCCCCACATTTGAAAAGCACTTTGCAGCTACTTGAACGCTGGGATAGCTGCCCATAATGCACCACTCCCAATGCAGCTGCGAATGGCTAGGCAGCAGATCTGCAGAAAAGGACCTAGGGGTTACGGTGGACGAGAAGCTGGATATGAGTCGACAATGTGCCCTTGTTGCCAAGAAGGCTAATGGCATTTTGGGCTGTATAAGTAGGGGCATTGCCAGCAGATCGAGGGACATGATCATTCCCCTCTATTCAACATTGGTGAGGCCTCATCTGGAGTACTGTGTCCAGTTTTGGTCCCCACACTACAAGAAGGATGTGGAAAAATTGGAAAGAGTCCAGTGGAGGGCAACAAAAATGATTAGGGGGCTGGCGCACATGACTTATAAGGAGAGGCTGAGGGAACTGGGATTGTTTAGTCTGCAGAAGAGAAGAATGAGGGGCGATTTGGTAGCTGCTTTCAACTATCTGAAAGGGGGCTCCAAAGTGGATGGATCTAGACCATTCTCAGTGGTAGCAGATGACAGAACAAGGAGTAATGGTCTCAAGTTGCAGTGCAGGAGGTTTAGGTTGGATATTAGGAAAAACTTTTTCACTAGGAGGGTGGTGAAGCACTGGAATGGGTTACCTGGGGAGGTGGTGGAATCTCCTTCCTTAGAGCTGTTTAAGGTCAGGCTTGACAAAGCCCTGGCTAGGATGATTTAGTTGGGGATTGGTCCTGCTTTGAGCAGGGGGTTGGACTAGATGACCTCCTGAGGTCCCTTCCAACCCTGATATTCTATGATTCTATGGCCAGTTTGGCCTATAGATAGTTGATGCACCCAGGCAAACAAATGTGCTTTCACTCAAAGCTTCTACTTTATTTAGTCTCCAGCACTTACCCATGCCCACAACAGGTTAGTACCCCAAATTAACCCCTGATTAATATTTACCCAGGGTTTAGAGGATGTCTCAAGTGGATTTCTGAAGACATCGTATGGCCAGTTTTCCATCTGCTGGGGAACTTGGCAGGTGTCCAAGTGTTCAAGTGTCCATGAAGATCAGATTTCTTTCTCTTTTTATATCTAATTTGTTAATATTACATAGCTTGTTCATCAAAACAGATAAACAAACAAACTGCTGAGCAGAAGCTAAGTGAGAAATATTCCAGCTTATAGTGTAGAGTTTTCCATCAGTTAACCATCTGTATTTCATATAGCAATAGTTAACTATTGTCAGACTTTCCATCTTGCAAAACGGCATGCTATGACAAAAGCTCAAGTCAGGGGAGCACAGGGTCATGTTTACTCCTTGTGGTCACTCATATGCCCCATCCCCAACTAGTCTGTTAGGCCATTTCTGAAGCCTTAACTCAAACTTTCTCGTTGCTTTCAGCAATGAACATAACAATTGGCATTCCAGCTACGGGCAGTGATGTAGGCATGTTAATGGGTTCTGGGCTATCAAATTTTTCCCCCTCCTACAATCACCTCCTTGAAGGTCACCTCCTTTTAAAAGGGGACTTTCACATTGCCACAGTCAACTCCACCAAGGGTTATGGTTGCACCAGAGCTGTGATCCAATGAAAGCTCAAAGCTCTCAGCCGAGATTGATCAAAATTTCTTCTTGTTGGCATCCCAAACTCAGCACATCAGATTAGCTGGGTTATGACTACAGGGTGGCAAGTTACACATACTCCCTTTCTAAGGGTGAGGGCAATGGTGGCAGAAGTCACTGGCTCATCTGTCCGGGGACTTGGAGTTGCCAAATTTTGCACCAGGTCCAACATGTCATCAGGCTGAAAAACAAGATAATCATTATTTGAACACTGAAATTACTACAATGAGATTCAGGGCCAAATTTAAGATCCCCATGCCAGTGAGGTACCATCCCAATAATATCTTCCACGATTGGAGTTTTAGAGTCTGGCCAATTCTCGCAAATATACGTTTAATTTCATCGGTGTATGGTAACCATGACCTTGCACGCCTCTTTTTTGGCAGTGTGCAGTTGGCTCTGTAAGTCAGGGTGTGCAAGCAACATTTGTGAAACAGTTACATTCATTCCAAGGGTTACAGCTTTCACAGCAGAGTACAAAGCATATGTCTCTTAACTGATTATATTTAAGTTCAGGCACTTTAAATTCAAAATTACATCCCCAAATCGCTATAATGTGACAAAAACATTTATTCTCATGAGGATCATGATCTACTTTATGCATGTAATTAACAAGAAGCATAGGATATCAGCTTCTAAGACACACACAGTGATCACCTATATATACAAGCATAGAGTTATTATTTGCAAATGGGTTAATAGCATAGTGGCATTTCTCTTCAGTTGTTTCCAGACACACACTCTGTACTTGTAGGGCATTTTTGTTGCAGTCATGTCCAATTCCAGATTCCTTTAAGCAGACATCACTATCTGTAGCCTTGTCTCCCCCAGATATTCTTGTCCAGTGTCTGGGGGTGAAAGGCATTGTTTCTACCTAAAAAGAACTGGCTTTTCCCTGGTAAACACATTTAGGCTTTCTACAATTAAATAACAGCCTGTCTCTTCCCACCCAGTGTCAACTGTAACCACATGGGTAGCTTTTATTTTCCCCCACTAACTAATCCACTTCTCCACTAGCCCCTTGTGTTTACATGAGGATGGTGTGGTTGCCACCAAAATGGTAGGGATTCCATAGTCACCAGCATAGACCATTTGCAACCCAAATCATGATACATTGCCAGTTCTCACTCAATCCCAATGTTAATATTTACTTTGTCCAAATCCAAGCCTTTCAATTTTATTGAAGTGGGGCCACATCTGTCCAAGGGGCCTAAAGGAGTGATTTGTTCTCCCAGGATGTTGGGATCAGTAGTGGCGTCAAGGGTATTGTTCACTTTATATTTCACTGTCATTCATGGATAGTTTCCCCATGCAGCAAACACAACAGGTTCTTGATTCACATCGCCAGAGGAACAGGTCTGCAATCCAAAGGCCACCAAAAGCAGCACACAGGAGTGCATTGTCTCCAAGAGCTTCTAGTATCTACACATTTAATTATCTAAAACACAAAGCCCTATATAGCAGGAGGCATCACTGAACATCTAAGCTAAATGTATTAACTTTTACTCAGACCCATCCAGGCCTGAGTCCCTCTTCCCAAGAGGGGACTCTTGAGCTTTCAACTGTGCTTTGAGCACCCACTTGGGGCTCAGCAAATTCATCAGCTCTGATTTGCTCAAGGCCTGCTGGGGCTGGACACAACCACTGTTGTGAATTTTGCTAGTGAGTACATCTTTTAAGGAGAGTGGTCTGTTTTCAGGACAAAGGACAATCTCATCAGATATCTCCAATGCTGCAAAGCCCACATTCCTTTCTTCACAGTGAGTAAACCCCCTCTCTACCTCACTGGAAGGTAAAGAAACATGACACAGGGTGGAGCTCTGTTCCATGGGTTTGACTCAGAATAGCTCCCACCCCCCTCTCAGTAGTTATCAGTTGCAGCAGAAAAGGTTTTTCCATCTGGGATATGCTAAAGCGAGACCCTGGAATTTAAGAATCAGCTTCACTCTCTGTTGATCAGGGGAGTGCCACTCCTGTTCCAGGGTTACTCCTAAGTAGTTTTTTGCTGGGAGCAGAGCGGGGCTTTCTTTGGGCTTATCTTAAACCCAGTTTCCTGAATCTTTTGTAACAGCCTCTCCAATACCTCCAGATTCTCTTCCCTGGTCTGAATGCAAACCAGGCTATCATGCATATAAAAAAAATTACACTGTCTCTTTTGGGCACTCTTGCCCACGTCTTGACTACCTGGGCATGAAAAATAATAGGGTCATTGTTCCAGCCCATGGGGACCCTACCTAAACACAACTGCTTCCCTTGAAAGGTAAAAAACAGATTTGTAATAGCTGTCCAAAAGTAAAGGGATAACAAAGAAAGCATTGGCCAAATCTAAAACTGAAAACCACTGGGCCCCTCCTACAATGGAGGCCATCCCTCATAGTACCTAGCCATCAGCAAGGTCACCCAATTAAGGGGGCAAAAATCCACTACCAGCCACCAAGTTTTGTTGTCATCTTTAAGGACTAGTCACAGAGCACCATTATTGGGGCTTATCTATTCCCCCAAAATTCCTTGACCCCAAAGCCTGTCAAGTGTTTCTTTCAGGCTGGCTTTTGCCTCTTTCATTGCTGCTGGGGCAGGGGATCAGGGCGTATGACTCAGATTTCTCCACCATTTTTAACATGTTCTTATTCTTGGCCCACACCTCACAGTGTTTTTCTGCAATTGCTAGGACTTCTGGGGGCCACGTGGGACACTCCAGTTCTTCAGTTGCCTTAATAGCTGCTTTCCAGTAGCTTGCTGAAATCTCCACTGGGTCCCAGGGTGTGTCAGGTGGCATGTCCCATAGGACCTGTTAGCAAAATCAACTAACACTCTTAATTCTCCCAAGACATCAATTCCCAGGATCCCTTCTCCTCCCAAATCCATTGAACCAAATTGCCCTTTTATTTCTCCTCTTCCCTACCCAATACAGAATGTTTTGACAAAAGGGAACAGTTCTCTGTGCCTTACTAAACTCCAGCAAGGTTTTAACTCCAGCTGGAGATTCTTATTCTGGGTACTAATCAAGGAATAGGTGGCACCTGTATATGACAAATTCTATCCAAACACCCCTCCTTCACATTCCACATAAACTGTGAAGAGGGAGGCAATGGGAGGTGCACTCAGGATCTTCCCTTCATGCTCAGCCAGTCTTAATAAAATTTCTGGGATGGAAAAGCCATCTATGTTGTCCTTCAGTTCATACCTTAGGAGCTGTCTCCAAATTTCCACCCACCAGGGATCAGGAGCTCTGCTGTGACTTTTGTACTGCCTGTCTTCCTTCTCTTTCCTTTTGCCCCTTTAGCTTTCAAATAAACTACAATCTTGGGGCCCAATCTTTCTTTTGTTAATCTATTGCTTTTCTCAAAACTGCTTTCCAGGCAGTAGTTAGGATCAGTAGCAAAGTAAATTTTCCTGTTGCTTGGCAACAATATTTTCAAGGACAGTAAAATACTTTTAGTAAAGTAAAGCCAGCTGTGGTTTTAACTCTTAACTTTCAAAACAAAAACACCCAAAGGCAAAAAACAGCAGATGGGGGAAGAAAGGGGAGGAGAGAGAAGAAGTGGAAAGGGGGGGCAAAGAGAGTGTATGAAGATCGCCATAGGAGGAAAGGGGAACTTAAGCCAAGAAAAACTACAGACAGCAACAACAAATATAGAAGTAGGGCTCTGTGAGGAACCTGCACCCCTAACCCCTATCTTGGCTCCAAGAGGAGAGTGGGAATATCCACCACATCCACCGGAGTGAAACCAGGGGTGCCAGCTATGCTTGCCAGCCACCACAAGGCTGTGCTCCGGTTTAACATACCAACCAATTTCCCTGTGGCTCTAACCTGGGGAGAAGGGCCTGATCTCTACCCATTCTTCCCCTCCTTGGTTTCCTCCTTGGAGACCAATCGTCCTCACCATGGCACCTATGGGTATGAATGTCTGCAGCTCTTCCAGTGTTTCAAGCAAGGGACCATACAGGAATTGCCCAGAAGAACTCAAAGGAAATGGAAGCTCATAGGGATCATCCTTCTCATCATCATAATATGAAGGATACAAGTGAGGGTCCTCCTCTGACCCACCCACCCCCCTTCCCAGACTACAACTTCCTCTAATTGCAGCCGCTATTCCCTTCTGCTCTCCTAACCCTGTCTTTTACATTCCCCATGGTCTGCCTGGGTCTTAACCTTGAGAATCCTTCAATAAGACTCTAAAAGTTCTTTCACTCTCCACTATCTGGTCTTTCAATCCAGACACTTCCCGCTGCAGCCTGTTATTCTCTCGCTTACCGTCACACCCCTGCTTGTGTAGTTCCACTCTCTGAGCCTGGAGTGTGTCTGACTCAGCCTTCAGGCTGGATATCTCTTTGTTTTTCTCAACATTATCTTTCTTTAATTCCTCTATTTCTGTCTTTAACTGATCTCTCTCTTTACCTACTACCATCTGCTTACAGAGCTGCAGGAATGCTCCGGGGCTGGTCAAGACTCCTGGTTTCCAGGGTCTGTTACCATGTTCCTGTATAAAATCAGTCAAGCTCTTTCCCAACATCATTTTCAACTGTTTTTCGTTACCAGATGTTTCCTTTCCTTTGGACAAAATTCCTCACTTGACTAGGCTGCCAGTCTGAGCTCTAAGTACCAGTAACAGAATTTATCCATTAACTGACTTGCAAGCTACAACACAAAAGCCTTAGGCTGTGACCCTACTTCACTGTCCTCTTCTTCCTATTGCAATAGACAACTATCAGTTTGCACCAACAGATCCCTTCCTCTCCACCATCTCACTGGGGCCAATTCTGCTAGTTGGGGTTTTGCTGAAGCCAAAGCTCTTGGTAACTTTACTCTTTGCAAGACACTGGCAGGAAATACATCAATGGGGACAGAGACTATCTGACCAATAGCTAGTTGATGAAAGCAGGCATACAAAGTGCTTTCACTCAGAGCTTCTACTTTATTTAGTCTCCAGCACTTACACAAGTCTGCAACAGGTTAGTAAAACACCCAAAAGTAATCCCAGATTAATATTTACCCAGGGTCTTGAGGAAGTCTGGATTGGATTTCTGTAGATGTCCAGAGGCCAGCTTTTCATCTGCTGAGGAACTTGAGAGGTATCCAAGTCTTCAAGTGTCCACCAAGCTCACATTTCTTCCTCTTTTTATACCTAACTTGATAGTATTGTATAGCTTGTTGATCAAAAAACAAAAATCAACCCCCCACCCCAAACTGCTGAGCAAAGCCAAATTAAGTGTGGAGTTTTCCATCAGTTAACCAGCTGTATTTCACATAGCAATAGTTAACTATTGCCAGACTTTCCATTTGTAAAATCACATCTCATCAAAAAGCTTAAGTCAGGAGGGTACAGGGGCATGTTTACACTTCATTGCTACTTATATCCCCCCTCTCCTCCTGGTCTGTTAGTTGTGCTAAGGCTTCAGAAATGGCCTTTCTAGCTGCTTTCAGCAATGAGTATAACAATTGGCATTCCAGCTACTGGCAGTGGTGTAGGTACGTTACTGGACTCTGGGCTATCAAATGAAGGGAAGTAAATTGGAGCTGGCTAGAGAAACCTGCACCTGATTGAAAAACAATTAGCCTGGGCTGCATAAAAGCCTCAGAGGAAGGAAGCCAAATGGGATAGACAGAAAGGTGGAAAACCAGAGAGTGGGAAGAAAGTGGGAGTGTGGCTCTCCTGGCTGCAGAGGCTGGGAAGTCCTTTAGAGTGAAACCCCCATGCTGTATATGGTGAGAAGGTTATGGGATTGCACCCTGTAAATAAACTGCACCAGTGATTACTGAACCTACAGGTCTCTGAGTGGTTTATGGAGCAGAGGCAGGACCAAAGGGGGCCCCGCTAAGCCCTGTTAGTGTCCTTAAACTGTTCAAATTAATAAAAACAAATTAAGTACTTAAGACTTGAATATATTTGCACTGTGTGAATAATAATCTCACAGCTTTCACTATGTTTATAAATAGCAAATGAGTAAGCTTTTAGATTTGGTCTGAAGTGCCTTCAGATGTTTATTACCCAAGCTTGAACTATTATCGCACTCTAGAGCAGGGATTGGCAACCTTTGGCACGCGGCCCAACAGGCAAATCTGCTGGTGGGCCAGGCTGGTTTGTTTACCTGTAGCATCTGCAGGTTCAGCTGATTGCAGCTCCCACTGGCCGTGGTTCGCCATTCCAGACCTATGGGGGCTGTGGGAAGTAGTGTAGGCTGAAGGATGTGGATAGGAAGTGGCACAGAGCTAGGAAAACTAGTTTAGAACTACTGCTCTGGAATAATATACTTTAACAAGAGATTTATATTAAAAATATTTACCTTTCAAGAGTTTGTAAAATTTACTGTCAAGGAAATTGAAACACAATATCCATATATTTTGTACTGACTTTCATATAATGTGACTTTTTAGAAATTTAATTTCCCAAATCTGGTGCAGTGATATAAATACAACTTTCTTTATAACTAAAAGAATTAAATTTTATACTGCATATATAACAAAACCAAAACCCAACTGAACTTCCACTTCATGCTTTTCTCCCTACATGTTTTTTGTTTGTTTGGTTTGTTTTGTTTTTCATTCTTTGATCATATTTGTAAAGTCTACTTGCTCTGCTGCTATTCTCATATTAACTTATAGGCAGTACAAATGTTCATCACTTAGTACAGAATACATCTGTTAACTAGTCCATAATACAAACTGTGACTCCTGGGGGAATTCTGCACCACTGTGCATGCACAGAATTGATGTCCCCCACCAATCTCTTTGTTTTCCCACAGAAAATGACTTTCTGATGGGGAAGAAAAGGGAAGCCACAAGAGCAGTCATGTGACCTTCCCCAGCAGTATGTTTCAGGTGCTCATGGCAGCTGGCAGAGATGTAAATCACTGTAGGGCAGGGGCAGGGGCAAGGACTGGGGAAGACCAAGCTGGTAGCTCCTGCACTGCACTGGGCTCTGTGGCTAGTCCCGTCTGGGCTAGAGAGGATGTGACTTCCTCTTCCCCTGCATAGCATATGGGGCTGGGTCAGACCCACACCCAGATTTCTCCCCCAGCTCCAGGAAGCTCTGCAAACTCTTACCCTGCCCCACCCCGCCCCATTTCCTGTACCCATTGCTCCTCAGCTGTAGGGGGAGGGATTACTGTAGGGGGAGCTGCTCCCCCAACCACCATGCATCTAGACTCCCTCATACCCAGACCCTCCTACCAAACCTCACACCCATTGCAGAGGAGCCCCACTTCCCCTGCACCACACCAATGAGCCACTCACACCTGGATCTCCACCTTACCGAGCCCCAAGCAGCTGCACCTGGATCACTACTGCACTGAGCCTCACCCCCCACAGCATCTGGACCCCCCACTGAGATACTCAGACCCCCCCCCCACCAAGCCTTATTCCCCCACACGCAGACCCCCTGCTGAGCCTCAACCACCTTCACTTGGACCCCCCTGCAGCATCCCATTACCATTGCATCCAGAACCCCCCAGCAAGCCCCTGTGCATCCAGATACCCCCGCACACCCAGATTCCACACTGAGCTACCCAGAACCCTCTCAATCCACACCTGGATCCCTCCACACTTGGATCCTGCTGGCCTGAGCCTGCCTGCCCACACCTGGTGCACCTGGCATGGAGGGGAAGGGTACTGGAGTGTTTCTGGGGCAGATCAAGTCCTAGTCCTGTCAAGGATGGGTGCAGCCTCACCCCTGAGTCTGTGTCCCAGGGGGAGCTGCAGAATGATCTCCTACCTCTGTGCAGCCAGTGGCCTATGCTCCCCAATGCCATGCTGAAGCCACCACATTAATCTGACAAAATTTGCAGAATTTTAAAATATTATGCACAGTTTTTTTTTTTTTTTTTTTTGGTCACAGAATGCCCTCAGGAGTAAAACTGAATACATGCATTCAACTGTCATTAAAGTCAATGGGAGTTGTGCACTTGTGTCCGAGAGGAGAGTTTAGCTCTTTATTTACAATTGGAATCTGTTCAGTTGTAAGAAGTACTCATCAGAGTCATGTGAATATGGAGAGGCTAAACAGTGCCATATAATCCATATCTTAATTGACTTTGCTATAAAGCAAGGACCTTATTAAATAGGTCTATTCTATGGGCACCTGAAAAAACTTATTCTTCTCCTTTGTACTAAAGTTTATCAGAGCTAGCTGACTGGGTAATAGGCCAGACCTGTAGTGCTTTGACTAGCTGGACATGATATTAAGCATTTGATTTTTCAAAAAATGTAATCACATGCTTAACATATTGCCAATCACAAAACATCTATTTCACTGATTCCTTCTGTAACCTATATTAAATGACTGGCCTGGCAAAAAGTCAGCCCAGGATTAAGAGAGCAAAAAGGTACACTAAAACCATCTTTGCACCAGCACAATGCCAAGTAGTGGACACATGGACATTTCTGTTCATGTGCTTGGTCTTGATTGTAACAATGTTGCACACAGTTTCAGTGAGGGACATTATACTAAGATTAATCTGTTTTGGGTTCTACCAGTTTTACCAGCTTATTGTTATGATTCTCAACCATTAGGTGATACATTCCATTTTAAATTTCAAGTTAAAATAGCCTGCTTTGCTTTCTCCATTTGGATGAATCACTATATCCATTTGGATGCCATCTGTCTAGAAACGTAGGAAAGACACTAGGCTATAAGTAATATCTATATCTATGCTTGTAGAACTAGGAATCATCCACTTCACAAATACATTAAAATAACTTATCATAGACATCCAAACCTTAGTGTTACATTTTCTACTATTCTAGACATTGTATGTTGATTTTATATACATAACATTAAATAATATATCTCAGCTACACTCGCATTCCATCATGTACTATGATGGCATAACCTAACTTGGCATAATCAGAAGAATTTAATATAAACAATTTCTAAAATTACCACCTTTGTGCTGATTCTTTCTCACTTTCATGTAGCTAAAAACATAGGGCCTGAACAAACTGTGCCTGACGAGTGATGTTGTGACCCATCTAATCCCCATCTCAATAAGTTCTCAGCACCTTGCAGAATCAGGCTCTTTGGGTCCTTTGATTGTAAATGCAAACAGGTGTCTAAACATAAGTCACATTTTTCACTGTCTAGATAAAGGAGAGAAAGGGAAGAGGAGAGTTAAAGTATAAAGGAATAACATACTAAGACTAGGTGTATTAGGGTCACAAATCCCATTGACTTTCAATAAAACCCGTGCTACTAAATCATATAGGACTTTTGAAAATCCCACCTGTAAGGAATGGTGTTATATGTGAGGAAATCACTGGGGCATTGTGATCAGAAAAAAAAAATGGAGATTACACAGCAAGTGGTCTGTATGATGGATTTTGGTGGTGACTTCAAAGGCGAGGATTTTCAAGAGTCTTTGTGCAAAACCAAAGACATATATAGCATCTACAGAAAAAAACAACAGGTTATAAGTGCAAAAATAATACAATACGTAGGGAAAACAGAAACACAAGATAAGAGGAACACACAATAAAATATGAAACAGTCAAGTTAGAGTAATGGGAGAGGGAGTGTCAATCAAGGTAATAATATAAATCCGAGGTATTTCCTTTGTACAAATGAAAGTCTAGTAAGATTAAAAACAAAAAGACTAAAACAGAAGGCAAGAGAAAGAAAGGGTGAGAAAATGCAACCAACATATATCCTCATGCACTGTTTAGATACATTTAGAAACCAAGATGAGTCTTGGAACTGATGATTTTAGATAAAAGGAAAATTGAAATGAAAAACTTAGCTTTGAGGAAACTATAACCCAAACAGACTTTCTGCACAGAAAGACTAGGAAGACAACATCCCCAGCTACTGTAGGTTTCTTAATGCAGGAAACTGCTCCAGCACAGCTATATTAAGATGTGCAAAATGTTAATATTGGATCTGTCTCAGCTTTTTGGAAATATGAATGGTCAGATTGTGGCACTAAGGCATTGGCTTGCCCCTGGAAGAGCACAGGGCCAGGTGTTGGTGTGCTATCCCTTTTGGTGGTGGACTTGCTTAATATTAGGGTTACCATTTGTCCGGATTTACCCGGACATGTCCTCCTTTTTGTTCTAAAAATAGCGTCCGGGGGGAATTTGTAAAGCACTCAAAATGTCCGGGATTTCCCCCCT